TGTTTTTATCAGGTTGCAATGAATGTGTATGAATTATCGTCAGCTGCTGGATTACCTTGTGAGATTGATCCTGCGTTGGTCGTAGCTCTTTCTTCACAAAAATCGGGTAAAATGCATTAGTAAATATTAAATACTCTTAGTTAAAGTTACCAGGGCAGCATAGGTATAGGTATGATATTTAACCATATATTCAAATGCCTGCTTTGTGTTCATCTTTTTAAATTTGTTATTGTTATTGCTGGTAGTTGGACTATATCAGTGCATAAAATACAAACATCCCCGCCTTCTGGAATTTAAGATTGGATGAGATTACTGGGCCATTTAGTGTATATAGATGCAGCAGTGAAGAGGATCCAGGTCTGAGCCTTGAGCCATTCTAAGATTTAAGAGTTCAGGGAGAAAAGGAAAAACCACCGAAAAAGAAATTTAGAGAAATTGAGAAGATAGGACCAATGAAGTAGAAGAAAAACCAGGAAAGAGTAGCTTCCAGGAAGATAGAAAGGAAATGATCAGCTATGTAGAGTTAATTGGTGGTACTGACAAGATCAGTGTCAGTGAGGTTTTATGGGCAAAAGGCTAATTAGTGAGTAAGGGAGATTAAGGGAGAATAGGAAGAAAAGGATTTGAAGATAACCATAAGACAAGTCTCTCAAAGGGTTCTATTGTAAAGGGGAGCAAAGAAATAAAATCTCAGCAGCTGGAGGCAAGAGCAAAGTCAAGAGAAGGATTTTTTAAGATAGAGGAGAAGTATGCTGATGGGAGATGGTCCAGTAGATAGCATAAAATTGAGATCTAGAAATTTTTATTGGACTAGAGTTATTCACCATCAAGAGTTTGTACAGTGTTATATAAAACATTCAGAAATTTTTAAGACCAGCCCTTAGAAATAAAGTGCTTAGAATCCTGTAGATATTTCTTGATTTGTCTACAAAGTAAATACAGCATTTCATCTATTTCTACTACAAAAATGCCCTTTCTGCCCCCTTGAGGCAGCAGCCTGGTGTTTGAGGTAATCAGTTTTTTGTTTGTTTGTTTGTTTGTTTTGCGTTTAACAATGCTTTTTGTTTCCTTATTCATACAGTATGTTACATTTAGTCACGTGGATAATTATAATTTTTACTTGATTTTCTACAGCTGTATTTTTTGTAGTCACCAAATCTTTAAAACATATTTCAGCTTTTTTCTTATATTCAATTCTTAATTATATCTAATGGTGATTAGAGCCTAAATAACCCACAGTTTGAGTGCATATCACAATATGATTTTAGAAAGGGTTGTGTCTTGAAAACTTCAGGGCAAGGCTAGGTATTTTTATTCATGACTAGTTTCTTCTGTCTTCTAAAATAGAGAGGTTGAAAACCCAGTCCACTTCCCACATTTATGTCTTTTAAATAGTAAATTTCAAATTATATTCATATCTATTTCAAAAAGTAATTAAGAATTTTTTGGTGATTTTGCAGAATAATTTATGAGATAAGTTTTCTAAATTGTAAATATAACTTTCTCATAAAGTAATAATTCCCTTTTAGTTTTCAATTAGGAAATTGTAGGATTGCAGTTATCCTAACTGTATTTTTTGTTCTATAATCTTACAATTAAGAGAAATAAAATGTTACCTTATTGTTTTATCACACGTCCTTGAAATATGCCTAAGTAGTTGATAATAGTCAATTGTAACATAAATTGTTTCTACTTTATTTTTTATAACAAAATTGTGACCAATTCTATAGAATGCTAGTAAAATATTTTACTATTTCTAAAAAAAAGTAAGCCATTTTAAAAATAAAAATCTGTTTAGTTTAGATTATCAAATCTTAACTAATCTTGAAGAAATACCTTGATTTTATTCTTAATTTTTGTCCCTTAGAAAACATTAGTCCAGAAGAGGAGTATAAAATTGCCTGCCTTCTCATGGTGTTTGTGGCAGTTTCTTTGCCAACACTGGCCAGTAATGTGATGTCCCAGTATAGCCCCGCTATAGAAGGTAATAGTGGTTTCAAATTGTTTTGGCAATGGAAAAATCATGGGTTTTGGTATTTTATAATAAAATATGAGTTAAGTTCTGCCACTAACTGGTAGTGGAACATGGGATAGTCTGTTTCTCTTTTCCTGAACTGCAATTTCCTGATATATGAAATGTGTGTAAGTAAGCTCATGTGTGCCTGAATGTGCGTAGAGGTCGGTGAGGGCGTATCCAACTCGTAGGATTATTTTAGGGATTGAATGATAAGATGTTGTAAAGCAGCTAAGCACTTCTTTTTTGTTTCCGAGGTACTATAAAACTGATATGTGATTTCTTTTAGATGTTTTCAGAAGTGTTTGCCTGTTTAACTTATACACGATCGTTTGTTACTCTCTTGCTACACTAGTTTTGAAAACATCAGTGTTCATGAAAGTCAAAGGAGAGCAAGTCCGGTCATGTCCCAACTCTCCTCTTAATTATGCCACTGTTTTTGTAGATTGTGAAGTCATTAAAGTTTTGCCTGCTATGTATTATTTGCTATTTTGGGGTCTACACAACCCTATTTGCATTTTCTCAGGGCATTGCAACAACATACATTGCTTGGCCAAAGCCATCAACCAGATTGCTGCAGCTTTGTTTACAATTCACAAAGGAAGCATTGAAGACCGTCTTAAAGAATTTCTGGCGGTATGTATAGTCAAATAACAAAACTGATCACATTTTATAAAGAAAACTAAAAATCACAACCATGAGATATAAGAATAAATTCTCTTTAATTTTACATTTTATTTTGTGCCCTCTAATGGCATATTGTTTTCAAATTATTTTCTCAGGTATATGAATTTCAGTCTCCTTTTATTTTTATTTATTTATTTATTTTCTTTTTTTGGAGGGAGAAACAGGTAAAGGTGGGGCATTAAAATCGTGGAGCAGTCCATTATTTCCCTTAGACTCGGAAGTTTCTTTCCCAACTCTAGAGCTCTGCGGTATGACCTTTTCTCCCTAAGCTGATGTTTGGACTGCCTTAGAAATTTTCCTAGGGTTGAAAGAGAAAAAAGCAAAGGAAAATTGAGGCCAAGAGAGAGGCTGTTCCCTCTAAAAAGACGTAAAATTTTGCTTATTTCCGTTTCTTTGGAGAAAGACCATTAATGGTGATAAATTCATCATTAAAAATACTACACACTACCAAAAGAGAGGAGTACTAAATGTAGCCTCATGAAACATGGTTTTTAATTTCTGTATCAATGTAGTTCTTTATTTTCTTTATTAATATAACCTTTTCCATATTTTATTTAAAGGAAAGATGTACCATGGCATACTGAACTCTAGAACATTTACTTCTTTTTTGGTTGTAAATCCTGTCAGCTTTTTACAAAAATAATTTTTTAATTAAAAATGCAAATACAGTACTAACTTGAGGAGAAAATAACTTCTATTTCAAGGAAAACACTATTAAAATCGTTAAGTGTTTCTTTCCATTTGCAGATAATTCCTTCACTCAGGGTTTAATGTCTTAGTCTTACAGTGTTTCTGTGAAGTCAGATCTAGTGTGAAACTGTCTTCTTCCTTGGGAACTAAGAAATATAGTCAGTATAGATGATGGGATAAGAGAAAATAATTTGAATCATTTTTAAAAGCAGACTTGTTCTGGAAAAAAATCAGTTTTAAAGACCAATAAGAATATTTGATTACATTTATTATGTTAGTGTCTCTTTGTGCCTTAATTACTCTCTAAATTACTGCTTGAATGTAGGGTATCTAAGCTCGTTTTATTTGTTATTTAATTGCTCATTATTTTATATTTAGCACTGAATGATTGAAATGTGTTGGAAGCTGAAGCATACCTAAAATAAGTAACTGATGAACCTTTTATTAACTCACTTTATGTGTATGTATACTTTTAAGCTTGCATCCTCCAGTCTACTGAAAATTGGCCAGGAGACAGATAAAACTACAACAAGAAATAGAGAATCAGTTTATTTACTGCTAGATATGGTAAGTCTCATTTTAATTTTTACTAAAAATAAAAGAGTTCCAGTCATTCCTGAGAGTCTTTTCTTGGCATTTTAGTCATTTAATACTTTTTTTGATCCCTTTTGTTTACTTCACATAAGCCACACCTTTCTAAAATTTGCAGAGAAGACTGACATCACTCATATTTTATCATTTCAGTAATATCAGAAAATAACAAAATCAAAGGTTAGTATTAACTATGGGTATTCTTTTATGAACAATTTTTCAACCTGTTGGAAAACACTTAGGCCTTGTATTTTTCTAGTGTATTGGCGTCAGCTCTCTTCCAGTTTTCTGAGTTTTCTACATTCTGACTCTATTCTGCCCATTTCTTGTAATTTTCTGTGCCTAGTCACTTCCCTCTCTGCAGTGTCTATGAACCGGCTCTTGCTTGTTTCTACCACGTGGCTCTTTCCCCACTTAGAATCATTTTCCTTCGGATTTATCCTAATGATTCCTCAAATCTTTTTCCAGATAGTCTTTCCTGATTACTTTGGCCTGCGTTAATTTTTCTTCTGTTTTGAATTCCTATAGAATTTACAGCTTTCCATTTAATTATAGTTGGTTTTATGTTTGGTTTTGCTTCCTAGCTTAGTCTTGGACTGCCAGGTAGAGTTGGTGGTATGGACCATATTTTAAATATTCTTGTATTGTCTTTTATTTCTAGTATATCAGTGAGGAAAATGAAAGTGCTCAGTATATTCCTGTTGATTAAATATTATAATTGAAAAGTAGCCCTTTTTAAACTTTTTGATATATATTCACTGTGGCACATTTACATTTTAGATTAAGTAAAAGGAAAATAACGTGTGTCTATTTCTAATAAGAACAATATAGAAATTCTGCCTTACTGGTTGTCAGTAAATGTTCCCATTATAAATAACTTGAGTTTTGATGCATTTTTTGAATTTTTTCAGATTGTACAAGAATCCCCATTCCTTACAATGGATCTTTTGGAATCTTGTTTTCCTTATGTCTTGCTGAGAAATGCATACCATGCTGTCTACAAACAAAGTGTTACATCTTCTGCATAAAATACCTACTTATTCAAGACAAGCACGCGTTTTTGTTGCCTTGGTTTTACCTGTAGACTGTGGAACTATTTTACCTTAAGGCCTGAAAAAGTTTTGTGGATTATAAATTTCTTTCATACGGTTGTATTTTCTGATCATTGGTTTCTTAATATGGTTGTACTACAGTATACCGGTTGATTTAGGTTGCACATTCACTGAATTCACTGAGATTATTCCTATAATTTTAGAGTATCATTTATTTGAACAACATACATTATCAACATGTTTTTGATATTTGATAATGAAAAAAATCTTTGCTTGTTTATTTCTGAAAAAGAATTGTATTTAGTGATTATTTTAGATAGTGATATTATAGCATTCATCTGTGTGTAAATTATTTCATATAGGGAAGAGTTCTGATCTGTACCTATGGTTCTTATTGAAAACAAAATTGGATGTGCATTTCTGTGATGTTATGAATACATTTCTACTTTATTTTGAAACATTTGCCAAACTAAATACTATAACACTGTATAACATTTTAAAATGTTAAAGAACTGCTTAGTGTTAGAAGCAGATCATTTCCCAAAATTCTAAAAACAGCAGCATATGTTGTTGCTTGTATAAAGCCTAGGGATAATTTTTAGACTAACTTCCATGGTGCCCTGTTGGCATTAGCACTACCATTGTACCCTGCTGTATAATAAACAATCTTAGACATTTATCAACTGTTGATACAAATGTTAGTCCCTAACCACTTTTTATATATGTTTTAAATTTTTGAAATTCAAGTGTACCTGCCATAACATAAAATAAACACTAGACTGTATCACACTTTGAATGATTTCTTTAAGATCCTTGGATATTCATTCTGTAATAACAAAGTTTTTGTTTAAACTTAGTTTAAAATATAAAAAATAATAGTTTAGGAATGTCTGAAGTACAGCATTCGATACCAGGTCAGCTATTACATGATTTGTTTAAATGTTTTGAAAAACATTTTATTGAAAAAAATACCAAAATTAGAAAATAAAGTTACACAGTACTTCTTAAAAATTAAGAACTTAAAGAAAACTTGTGTGCTGTCAACTTGCTCATTTAATCTGTAACCAAATAGAGTTATTTAAAAGAAAAGGGAAAAAAATTGAGTGATCATGGGACTAGTGAGAATGTTGAGAACTGCTATGTTCGTCAGTAATGAATGGGAAAGACATCAAGGGCCTATTGCTTAATAGTTGGCATGGAGGGCAAAGCAGCTCACTTAGTTTGAAAACTAACCAGATGTTTTGCTCTTTGACTGGCATTGTTGAGACTTTCTCAACAGCTTTGTATCTGAATATCATAAACAGCTTCTGTTGTTCACAGCTTCTTATGTATACACTGGTAACTTGTGTTAAGGTAAAACAAAGCTGCTGTGAACTCAGTTATAATGTTTTTCTTTCTTCAAACATAGAGAGTAGAATGAAATTGAAGTACTACAAGATTATACTGTTGTTTTGTGTATGAGTTGTCCAACCTGTATTTAAAGTAGGGAGTAGTTATCACTGTCTGTTGAAAAATTGTAGTTGTTCCATAAAGATTTTTTTAAAAGGGAAATTTTAAAAAGGCATAGTTCAGACCTGAAATAGTCTGATTTACACAGTGAACAGTCAAAACTAAGATTTAATGCTGTTTGTTTTGAAATATTAGGATCTTAGAGGGGTAATAACTTTGTTGGCAATGATATCTTGAGAGGTAAAGTAGGCATTTGGATATGTACACTTTGGAATCATATGTGAAAGAGCATAAGGATGAAAATAAGGCATTCTTTACCACAGCTAGGCTGAGAAAAAGTATCACTCCTTTGTAGTCACCTGAAGTTGTTCTTGTCCAAATTTTCTCTCATATAGCAAAGGTGGGGGAGGAGGCGTGGCAGAGGTAACTTGGAGGAAAAAGTTAAAAGTAAATTGACAGCTACTATTTTTAATATCTTGTTTGTTTTATTTTCTTCTAAACTTACACAACAACATACTGTTTTTGTTGTTTTCTCTACATTAATGTGATCATACCGTACATACTGGCCTGTAATCTGCTTATTTCACTCAATAATAGAAAAAATGTCTTTGATATTCTTTTTGATACCTCTATAGATACCATAACTAATTTAACAATATCATGGCCAGGCGTAATGGCACACTCCTATAATTTCAGCACTTTGGGAGGCCAAGGCGGATGGATCACTTGAGGCCAGGAGTTCGACACCAGCCTGGCCAACATGGCAAAACCCCGACACTACTAAAAATACAAAAATTACCCAGGTATGATGGTGCACACCTGTCATCCCAGCTACATGGGAGGCTGAGGTGGGAGAATTGTTTGAACCCAGAAGGAGGAGGTTGCAGTGAGCTGAGATCATACCACTGTACTCCAGTCTGGGTGACAGAATGAGACTGTCTCAAAAAAAAAAAAAAAGAAAGAAAATACTCATTTGGAGAGATTGGTTAGATAGATAATTTCTTTTCATTATTATAAATGTATATCTATATCTTGGTAAACTTGACATGTATTTTTTTAGAATAATTTTTCGGAAGTAAAATTGCTTCCTTTCTACTGCTTTTTCATTCATTTTTTTAAGCAAGTATTTTTAGATTCCTGGATGTAATGGTGAGCGAAAAGGTGACCCTTTTATAGTTGAGCTTGGATTTTCATGATGGTATACAATAAACGAACCAGCTGCTTCCTTTTTTTTGAGACAGAGTTTCGCTCTTGTTGCCCAGGAAATGGGCAATGGCGTGATCTTGGCTCACTGCAACCTCCGCCTCCTGGGCTCAAGCAATTCTCCCATCTCAGCCTCCTGAGTAGCTGAAATTACAGGTGCCTGCCACTACGCCCGGCTAATTTTTGGTATTTTTAGTAGAGATGGGGTTATGTTGGCCAGGCTGGTCTCAAACTCCTGACCTCAGGTGATCCACCCACCTCGGCCTCCCAAAGTGCTGGGATTACAGGCATGAGCCACCACCCCCAGCCATGAGCAAACTTCTGATAGTGACAGGAACGTATACAGGATGATGTGGGGAGACAGTGGAGAAACTACTTTAGAAAGTGTCATCTGTGTAAGAGAACACATTTGAGCTGGTACATGAAGGATTAGAAGGAACCACAAGTGGGCTGAGGGGAGGAACAGTAAAGGCAAAGACCCAGAAGGCACGCACAAACTTGGCATGTTTGAGAAATTAGAAGTGTGTCATCTGTGTCTCTGTCACGAGGAGTGCTCAAGGTCCCTCTAGGAGCTAGCTTCTGATCACTTGCTTGCTTGCTTTCTTCTTTGCTTATGTAGCCAGAGTTCACAAATCAAATCTAATATAGGCTGGTTAATAAAGGAAATGAACATGAATTCACTGATAGGCTCTTGCATTAATGTGAAAATGTAAAGTCTATTGTATACCATCTGGCCTTCTAAATGAAGCCCAAATTCTATAAGGTAGTGAACTGTAACCTACTGATTAATTTAGTACATGATCCATGCCCATTCTTTTATAATGACTTGCCTTTCTGAGACTTCAGCTGTGTTATTCCTAAGACTTTTCTGACTAATCCTTAAAGTAGTGACTCCTTACACCTTTCTTTGATTTCTTCTTTGTAGTCACTTGAAATGACAGCATGAACCATCATTTCTTTTGAAGGCTTGAGCCTGAATTTTCAAATAGACAATGTGCTCTTTCTCTGAAGATTTGCCATGACCTCTGCTTTTGGGAAAAAGCATTTGAGATTTTAAATTTTTTATTCTTTAGTACAAAAATTATGTTTTTAGTTAATTGGTCCTGTGGAATTGGAAGGAAATTTAATATTTATTGACTCTACTTTGATATTATTTTCAGAGTAGAAAGTAACTTTAAGTGTATTAAAATTTCATTCATTTTTGCATGAACCAAACAACATACACATTGCTGTCCTTGACTGTCCAAAGTAAACCTTTCTAACTCTGGAATGTTTCATTTCCAATAAAAGTGTTCAGCCTGTCATTTTGGCCTAAGTAAAATGGGATAAATTAGCAATCTGAAGTCAGGATCCTAGCCACAGAGGTCCATGTCTCATTTCTGGTTTAAGTGCATCCCTCATCCCCAGCCCTTACCTTCTTTCTCTTAAGGATTGAGACAATCCTCTTGGTGCTCTTGGTGCAGGTGCATCTTGGTCACCTCTTACATGAGGGCCACAAACTTGGTAAATGGGTGGCCTGGAGATGGAGCTGTATTAGGTATGTGACCTTGGTGATTGCCTTGTCTCAGTTGTAATATGTGACTGAGTCACATTCATAGTACACTTAAATACACATACTGACCAAATGCCTACGGCTAAGGTTTGAAATTATTTGGCTAAGACCTGAACTGAAGATTACCATCATAAAATAAGCTTCTAAAATCCATTAATAAGTAGGAAATCATATTTAAAAATTACTGTAATTTTATTAAAGCTCATTTTTTAAATTTAATGCAGTGCAGAATCAATTTCTCAGCATTATCAGGTGCTAAATTGCTCTCACTCATTAAACTACTAATTTAAGATAGTAGTTATTTTAAATTATAGAACAGGAAGCAACTTATGAGTTTGCAACCAAATTATATTTGTTTTTTCTCCATTAGTAACAAAGTATTTCTTCACCTCTCAGATTTGAAGATTTTGTGGTCAGTGGTGATATAATTTCACTGAAGCATACTCACAGACTAAAACTCTGTGCACTTTATTTTTGATATTTTTTTGCATGTGTTTACTGCATCACACAATTACTTAAGAAATTGTCCCTAACTTTTGTGCTGTGGTCTGAATGTTTGTGTCACCCTGGCCACAAAATTCATATATTGAAATCTGATCATCAGTGTGAAAGGATGTGGGGCCTTTGGGAGGTGATTAGGTCATGAGAGTGGAGCCTTCATGAATGGGATTAATGCCCTCGTAAAAGGGGCCCCAGACAGCCGACCTGCCCCAACCACCATGTGAGGACAAAGCAAGAAGCCACTATTTAAGAACCAGAAAGCAGACCCTCTGCAAACACCAAATATGCCAGCACACTGATTGGCTTCCCAGCCTCCGAAACTATAAGAAAGTTGTTTTTTTATAATAACAAATTTATTATTCACAGTTCTTGCTTATAAACTTTATAAACCACCCAGACTAAGGCATTTTGTTATAGCAGCTGACACAGGCTCATTTTGGTTCTAGAAATGTGACACTGGAATGATGTAATTGGCTCTCAAGATGACAGTATTGCTTCTGAATGTCTATGTTCATATCGTCTTTAATTGCATGAACACCAGTTTTAGCATCTTGAGTAAAAAGAGATTCGCTACAGCAAGCATTATGTAAGAAGTACTGGTGGCCCGGCACAGTGGTTCACGCCTGTAATCCCAAAACTTTGAGAGGCCAAGCAGGAGGAATCATTTGAGCCCAGAAGTTCGAGATCAGCCTGGGCAATATGTGTAAACCCCATCTCTACAAACAAAATACAAAAATGAAAAAGCTGGGTGTGATTGTATACAGCTGTAGTCCCAGCAACTTGAGAAGCTGAGGGGGCAGGATTGCTTGAGCCCAAGGGGAGGGTTGGGGGTGGGGGTTCAAGGCTGTAGTGAGCCATGATTATACCAGTGTGCTCCAGCCTAGGTGACAGAGCGAGAGCCATTATCAAGGCCATGCGCAGTGGCTCACTTCTGTGATCCCAGCACTTTGGGAGGCCAAGGTGGGTGGATCACCTGGGGTCAGGAGATTGAGACCAGCCTGGCCAACATGATGAAACCCCATCTCTACTAGAAATACAAAAATTAGGTGGGCTTCATGGCTCATGTCTGTAAGCCCAGCTACTCAGGAGGCTGAGGCAGGAGAATTGGTTGAACCCAGGAGGTGGAGGTTACAGTGAGCCAAGATCATGCCACTGCACTCCAGCCTGGGCAACAAAACAAGACTCTGTCTCAAAAAATAATAATATATTTTTTAAAAAAGAATAAACACTTGCATTCTGATGGAATATTCACCCTTGAACTGATGGATAGCATTCAATGTATAAAACACATAGTTTCACTCCAAGTTATATATAGAATGCTTATTTGAGAAGAAATGCCCAGTTAATAATCAGAATGCCATACTAATTAGGTATGACCATAAATTATGTAATCACATGGTCATTGATTGCATGCAAATTCTGGCTGCCAGAAAGCACATTGAAGTAGGTAGTCATTTAACCATTTAACTGTTAGATCTTGCAAAGGTTGAAGCTGAAGCTGAGGAGCAGGTAGTACACAACTTTACAGGTTGATGCTGAATGGCAGTTCATTCCGAATTCTTGCCTTCAGCCAAAATGTACAAGGGTCTTTGCAGTCTGAAGCAAGGCCCAGCTGGCAGAACTTGTGATGGCTAGGAGGGGAAAATTTGACCTTGACTGATAGTTGTGGTTTTATCAAGCCGAAAATGCTGACTGGAGTAATAATGAGAGCTAATGTTTATTGAAAGCCCATTGTGTACCAGATACTCTGTTAAGTTTTCTCTAATTCAAACCTCTAATATTGCTCATTTAGTCTTCACAGTAATCCTATATCATGGTGACCCCCATTTATTGATACGGAAACTGAAGCTCAGGAAAGACAAAGCAGTTTTCACAAACTCACACTACAAGGAAGTAGCAGAGGCCAACATTTAAATCTGGCCCCAGAGCTGTGTTCTTATCATTAAACTGTGTCTCAGATCTCTCAAATGTGAGTGTGTACTTTTCTATCCAATGGCATTTTTTAATTGCTTTTTTAAAATTTGAATAGCTTTTGGGGTACAGTAGGTTTTTGTTTACATAGATGAATCATATACTGGTGAAGTCTGAGGTTTTAGTGTACCTATCACCCAGGTAGTATGCATTGTACCCAATACATAGTTTTTTTATCCCTAGACCCGCTCCCATCCTCCCACTTCTGAGTCTCCAAAGTCCATGATATCACTCTGTACGCCTTTGCATACACATAGCTTAGCTCCGACTTATAAGTGAAAACAAAGTATTTGGTTTTCTGTTCCTGAGTTACTTTGCTTAGAATAATTGCCTCTAGCTCCATCGAAGTTGCTGCAAAAAGGCATTCTTTTTTATGGCTGAATAGTATTCCAAGGTGTGTATATATACCACACTTTCTTTGTCCACTCATTGGTCAGTGGGCACTTAGGTTGGTTCCATATCTTTGCAATTACAAATTATGCTGCAATAAATATACACATGCAGATTTTTTTAAAAAATATATTGACTTCCTTTGGGTAGATACCCAGTAGTAGGATTGCTGGATCAAATTCTATCCAGTAGCATTTGAAACTGCTTTACATTAACAATGAGGGACAAAAAAATAACAGTGAGGGCTTACATTATGCTACTCTTGATGCTGGACATTTTCATATCCATTACTTCATTTAAACTCCACAACCAAATTACTCAGTGGGGATTGTTTTCTCAATTGTAAATGAATGTGGAAACCGGCTCATAAAACTAAATTCCTTGCCCCAGTGTCATAAACTTTTTGAGTTTGAGTGACAGTGCTGAGATTAAAACCTAAGGTTCTTGGATTTCTAGCCCATATTTTTTCTACTGTATCATGTTCTTTTCCAAAGCGCTAAAAATCATTTCCTGGGTACATGACTGTGGGCTTGGGGACACGATGTCTAGTTTCTGTCCTTCATGGTCCTAAGTTGCTTCTTTGCTTCTTTACTTTTTCTCTCTGATCCTGCTCAGATTAATCTCTAATAAATCAAATTTCTTTCCTAGTCTGTCATATCCTACATATATAGTAGATAGTATGTCACATATTTGTGAATTTTAAAAATATTTAGTTTTAAATCTCAAGCTCACACAGTACTTACTCTCTATGTCAACAAAAATGGTTTTTACTGTTTTCTGAAGATAACGCAGCTGTTGAAGTGAGATCCTACACTGGAACATATAACACTTGGTCTAATATTAAAGTTAGTTCCAAGAGCTCTCTAAATGTGATTAATTCTACCTTTATGAAAGATGAACTCATTTTCAAAATAATAGCTAATTCTTGAATGGGCAACCTATTATGTATCAATGATTGTAATAACGGAACATTTTAGTCATTAGTAGCTGGAAGAGCGTTAGAGATTATCTGGTTCAACCTACTCAAGAGTTAGATAATTTAACCAAATTAACATATGTGGCAATGTGTGGGGACTAGAAGGTTGACTGCTTGATTCTTGGCTCATATAGTGTTCCTTCTATGGTGCTATGTTGCCACATATATGCTGATCTTATATTTATGCAGTCATAGTTTTCATAATAATAAACAGCTACTGGTTCCTGGTAGGATTTTGGGGGTGGATATGAGTTGAAGTATGATGCCACGGCATCAGACAAATCGGGTTTGAATCCCAGCTCTGTCACTTACAGACGAATTACTTAACTTCTCCAAGTTTGTTTCCCTAAGTGTAGAATGTGGATAATATCTACTTTAAAGGGTTATTATAAGCATTAAAATAAGATTGTGCATGTAAATTGATGGGGAAGAAGAGGCTGCCACAAAGTAGGCATTCAGTGTAAATGGTGGTAGTTTCTCCAGTATTATTAGGCTATTTGGTTTCACTTATAAAATTGCCTTCAAACAGGTTTTTCATGGTTTTTATAAGTATTATAATATCAGAGCTTCCATTCATGAAAATGTGACATTTTTGTGTTAGTTTATTTTCTAGCTCTGATCGGAGTCTTTATCTTAAATGGGAAAGATTATTTTCCTCTTCATGTAACTTTAACAGGGAACAATGCTAAAATTAATTTTAATACTGCTCTATACTATATGTGTGTTATGCTATATTTGTATATACTATACACAAAAATATATAAGATGTAAAGCTTGTATTTTCAAATGTTATTGCAGTATCCAGAACAATTGCGACAGTTGCTCTTGGAAGCTTCTGTGCTTTTCCACATGCTGTTTCCTATCTCTGGAATGGAATGTTCTCTTATTCTGGCTGGCAAACTCCTGATCATAATGTAAACAGTAAGCTCAAACATCACTTTCCCTTTCCTTACCACACCGTCCTGTTTCTTCTAAACCTTATAAATGCCTTTATTATAGTACATATTGAATCATAATGTAATTATTATTATCTCTGTCTCCTTTGATTCTGGGACTGCCTTGAGGTCAAGGTCTAGGTTTATTTCATCTTTCTGTCTATTTATTCAAATTTCCTACCCTGTGTAACTCTCAGAATCTTACTTTGAGGTTGGAAAGGCCAGTGGCTGGACAGATGCCGCAGACCTCCATTGGTACAGATGCCCTTAGCTTCATGTTGGGAACAAGTGGTTCTATTTCGTTTTGTTCCTGTGGAGAAGCATCAGAGATACGGGCAGCTGGGGATTTCTACACCTGAAATAGCAGCAACTCAATGATGACACAAAGACATGTTTCTTTCTTTCTTTTTTTTTTTTTTTTTTTTGACAGAAGGTGAAGGGGAAGCAAGGTACTTTTTACATGGCAGAGGGAGAGGGAGAAGGAGCAGGAGCAGGGGAGACAGGGAGGAAGAGGAAACTGCCCCAAAAACATCGTTTCAAAGATTTCTCCCAGTGAGACAAATCACTTGTCTGGGATGTCAGGGGGAGAAGATGCAGAATCTGAGCCCCTTGTATATATAGACAAAAGGTGAAAGCATTGGCAATAGATCAAAAAGGCATTCCACATAGCAGAAAAATAATTTTTAATTATTTTTAAATGTAATGAAAATGTAAGTGAAGAAAAAGCCAAGAGCAAAGAAGAGAGGCCATCAGAGAAATTACAAAGTGACTACTCAGGTCATTGTCCTGAAATAAATGATCATTTTATTCTGGTGACTCACCCCTAGCTAGAGTCAGTACTTCATAGAAAAGACAGGAGCTGTGAGCCACTTAACTGTAATCTTACCTCTTTACAGAAATGCCTCCCATAGTCAAGCTGGTCTGATGATCTCATGTCATCATGCACAAAGATTAGCAAGCCTTGAAATTTTATCCTGTCAATGTAACTCCTCATCTAGTCTCAAGATTGCACTGGCAATTCTTTGGCAGCTGATCATACAGGGAGGACCAATAAGGCTCACAGAACACCCTTGGAGAAGGAATGCCTCTGCTACTGGAGGTCACAGCACCCAGAAAGTGACTAGAGGGAGCAGCTGATGCCTGCTCTAGTGAGTTCTGCTGTTCCTGTCACATCCTTGCAGAGGTCCAAGGGTTGCTGGTAAGTGAAGGAATATCATGCCTCTGGTTTGAAGGATAGATCACTCAACTCTCAACTATTCTGTCTTCAGCTGTGAACCATACAACTTTTTTGAAAAGCAAAGTCTGAACATTTGCATTCTATACAGAATGTTACAGTTGGAAAATAGGTGTGGTGTCTAGAGAAAAGCTTCTAAATGCTACAAGCCACCCTATGTGAAGCCTATTCTAGAAATCTTCTTTGCTTCAATTATTAACTTCATTGT